TGGCTGCAAAGCGGGCTCGCTTCCGCATTGGCCCCTGGCGGTGGCAGAGCGGCCTCGTCTGAGGTTGATGTTGTGCCTAAGAGGAAAACCCCGAGGCTGGGCGTCCGGGCCAGCGCCCGCTGCAGGGGCAGGTGTGCTGTCTCTCAGAGCAGATGGCTCAGGACGCGCCCGGGGACTGGCCCAGGAGAGGGCGAGGCCAGCGGCAGGTTGAAACGCGCCGAGTGGCAGCTTGTCCGTTTAACACAGTGGCACCTGAGAGGCACGTAAAATCCCAGCTCACAGGAAAACGTGGCTCATTCCCCCTGGGTCCTTTTGATTCGTTTTGTAGTTAAAAAGTGGGCTCATGCGAAGAAAACAGGAGAAACATTAGTGAAGGTGAAAACTCTGTATAAATGCTAGAGAGGCGCGAGCAAAAACAAACAGAAGGAAGCCAAAAAGAGGAGGCACCGCCGATGGCTTTGTATGAAAGGTGCGCTGCGCCCAGGGGCTGAGCCAGGACCCGTCCCCGGGATGCATTCGGGACCCTCCCGGCTGGCTGTGGCCTCACTCGCTAAGGCGTGGCCTCTGGCAGTGCCAGGGCCTTTGACCTCAGGTGTCTCTCTCTTCGTGTACGGCAAAGATGTTGGCCCCAGCAAAGCCGGCCTCTTGCCGTAGTGACGGCGCCTGACTCTGTAGGTCACGGAAATCCATAGGTCATGCGTTCGTTCCTAAACGCTGCTTATATATTTATAACATGAGTGGTAATTTTATAAGGCCACAACGCTAAAATTGTAGCAAACCTAGAAAGAAAAGCGCTGTGGAGAACTTAAAAATATTTCAGGAAGTGGACATTGTTTTGGTGACAAAGGTCTGATTTTTTTTTTTTTTTTTTGAGACAGAGTCTCGCTTTGTTGCCCAGGCTAGAGTGAGTGCCGTAGCGTCAGCCCAGCTCATAGCAACCTCAATCTCCTGGGGCTCAAGCGATCCTGCTGCCTCAGCCTCCCGGGTAGCTGGGACTACAGGCATGCGCCACCATGCCCGGCTGATTTTTTCTATATATATCAGTTGGCCAATTAATTTCTTTCTGTTTATAGTAGAGTCAGGGGACTCACTCTTGCTCAGGCTGGTCTCGAACTCCTGACCTCGAGCGATCCACCGGCCTCCCAGAGTGCTAGGATTGCAGGTGTGAGCCACCGCGCCCGGCCCAAAGCTCTGATTTTTGATGGCTACCTTCAAAAAAGCCCAAGACGCGAAGGTCTAACGCGTGTTGGGACGGAGTTTTAAGGTCGATGGATGTGATGCTGGGGCGTGACGCAAAGCTCAGAAACACGCTGACCGTCCTGTCCCTCTTTTCTCTCTCTCTCTCTCTCTCTCTCTCTCTCTCTCTCTCTCTCAGTGGCTGAGAGCGACGCCGCGGACATCGTCTTCCTGGTGGACAGCTCCGACGGCGTCAGGCCCGACGGCACGGCCCACGTCCGAGACTTCGTGAGCAGGATCGTGCAGAGACTCGACATCGGGCCCAACAGAGTGAGGATCGGGCTGGTGCAGTTCAGCAACGATGTCTTCCCGGAGTTCTACCTGAAGACCTACAGGTCCCAGGCCCCCGTGCTGGACGCCATCCGGCGCCTGCGGTTCAAGGGGGGCTCCCCGCTGAACACCGGCAAAGCCTTGGAGTTCGTGGCGAGAAACCTGTTCGTGAAGTCGGCCGGGAGCCGGATCGAGGACGGGGTGCCCCAGCACCTGGTGCTGGTCCTGGGCGGGAAGTCCCAAGATGACGTTTCCAGGTTCGCGCAGGTGATGCGCTCCTCGGGCATCGTGAGTTTAGGGGTCGGAGACCGGAACGTCGACAGAGCCGAGCTGCAGGCCATCACCAACAACCCCAGGCTGGTCTTCACGGTGCGAGAGTTCAGGGAGCTTCCCAGCTTGGACCAGAGGGTCATGAGCGCCTTTGAGCCCTCCGCAGCCACGCCCGCCCCTCCGGGCCCGGCGCCTCCTCCGCGGCCAGGTACGAGCCCCGCGTCTCGCGACCGGGACGCCCGCCGTCCGTTTGTTGCTTAGTTTGAAAAGTGACTGGCATTCCTTTTAGCGATTTCCTTCTCTCGAGGTTGCTTCCGCAGGTAGTACTAGAAATTAAGTGCTGGGAAAATAGTTCAGTTGACATGATAGAGGGAGACATTTCCCAGAAAGCACGTGACTGCCGCTCTGGCGCTCCTGAGGCCAGCTGCGTCCCCCCGGGGAGGGTCCCGTCAAGGTGCATTTGAGGGGCGATCTCGAACGAGGTGGTGCTCAGAGTAGGACAGCATCCTCCAGACTGGCCAGGCCATTCCCCACGGACGTGACTTCGGCGTCAGCCCGTGTCCAGTGGTGGGATGCCCACCCTGGTCCAGGCACGCCTCCTTCCTCAGACTGGGGTGACCATCAGGAAACACCTCCCCGGAGGACTTAAAACTGTCCACCTGCAGCTCCTACCCCAAGTTCCTAGCTGCCAAGAGCAAAGAGGGTCCCTGCACCACCCACACCTTTCCTTGCTGCTCCTCCAGGTGACAGCGTCCAGACACCTGCAGCAAACCGTTAGGCTTTCCAAGGCGGGGGGTCTGTATTCCTGTTTCTCTCTGTCACTGCCTCCCTCAGGGCTGGCTGTGGCCCATCTTGTACCTCTCACGCTGTCTCTAATTTTTTTCCCTCTCTACTCTGGCCTTGACTGCTTGATTACAATCAAGAAATTGCACCCCCCCCCGCCGCTGTTTGCAGCAGGCTCTCACAAATCTCTCAGAGCATTCTCTAAGGTTCCTGGGGTCCCTTCCCAATTTCTCATCTGCTTCTCCCAGCCCTTCCCTGCCCTGCCCCAACACGCCTCTCTCTACTTCTACTACCTTTTTTTTTTAAGCAGGAAGAGTTTAGGGGCATTTCCTAAAACACCTGAGATCACAGACTGTCAATTCCAGGTCCCTGTTGAATTCCTGGCATAAAAACACGTTGCATGGGACAACCGGGACTCCGTGTCCCTGGGTTTTCATGAGTCCTCTCCTTTTTGTTTGTCATTTGTCTTCTTCTTTTGGGCCTTATGTTTGCGAGCTGTGGATTCGGGAACTAGAGAGGCGTGGCTTAGGGTGAATCGTTTTACTGTGAATGAATTGCTAGGAATGTCTTATTTCAATTCTTCCAATTTGTAGTCCATATATTTATGTTCTGGGTATTGAAACCACTTTCACTTTCACCATTTTTAGAGAAGAAGAAAGCGGACATCGTGTTCCTGCTGGATGGGTCCATCAATTTCAGGAGGGACAGTTTCCAAGAAGTGCTCCGCTTCGCGTCTGAAATCGTGGACACGCTTTACGAGGACGGCGACTCCATCCAGGTGGGGGTGGTCCAGTACAACTCCGACCCCACAGACGAGTTCTTCCTGAAGGACTTCTCCACCAAGAGGCAGATCATCGACGCCATCAACAAAGTGGTCTACAAGGGGGGCAGACACGCCAACACCCGGGTCGGCCTCGAGCACCTGCGGCTCAACCACTTCGTGCCCGAGGCCGGCAGCCGCCTGGACCAGCGCGTCCCACAGATAGCCTTCGTGGTCACGGGAGGGAAGTCAGCGGAGGACGCGCAGGAAGTGAGCCTGGCGCTCACCCAGAGAGGGGTCAAGGTGTTCGCGGTGGGCGTGAGGAACATCGACTCGGAGGAGGTTGGGAAGATAGCGTCCAACAGTGCCACCGCCTTCCGGGTGGGCAACGTCCAGGAGCTGTCGGAGCTGAGCGAGCAGGTCTTGGAAACTCTGCACGACGCAATGCATGAGACCTTGTGCCCGGGCGTGTCCGACATTTCCAAAGGTAACCCCCTTTCCGCACCTGTTTCCCAGCCTTTCCTGCTGACACTTGTGTTTTCCAGCCATCTGGATGCCCAGAGCTGATCTGTGGCTCTTCTTGGTTCTTCTTCATACATTTACTCCTATTGCCTTGCATCATTCGGCTAACTAATAACCACTGCCGTTGGACGTTCTTCCAGGACAAGAGTGGAAGTTTATCTTCTACTCTTATCAGATTTATTTTCTCCCCTGTTCTCTAACTCCTCAAATAACTCAGACTTATCGATTCTTGTGTCTGATTACAGATTTATCAGATCAATTATTTAAGATAAAAGTATTTGCCTTTTCAAGTAACTTTAAAGCACGAACTCGGGATGCGCCTAAAAGCCAGCAGTGTGTCATCACGCCAAAATTGATCAGCACCACCCAGAAAGCAAACGTATTCAGATTGCCTATAATCTTGGCTCTCAACAGCTACCCCCGTTTCTCCCTGTGCGGGGGGCAGGTCTAATTGCTTCTCAGATCTCGAGAGGAGGAGGTCCCCTCCTGCCGCCGTGTTGCTGTGTCGGCAGAATGCATCTCGCCAGCCTCTGCTCAGAGCTCACCGCCTGCGCTTCTTCCCTTCAGCTTGTAACCTGGATGTGATCCTGGGGTTCGACGGTTCGAGGGACCAGAACGTATTTGTGGCCCAGAAGGGCCTGGAGTCCAAGCTGGAGGCCGTGCTGCACAGGATCAGCCAGATGCAGAGGATCAGCTGCAGCGGCAACCAGATGCCCACGGTGCGCGTGTCGGTGGCGGCCAACACCCCCTCGGGGCCCGTGGAGGCCTTCGACTTCGGCCAGTACCAACCGGAGATGCTGGAGAAGCTCCAGGGCCTGCGCAGCCAGCACCCCTACGTGCTCACGGCGGACACGCTGAAGATGTACCAGAGCAAGTTCAGGCAGTCCTCGCCCAGCAGCGTGAAGGTGAGCGGCTGCCCCTCGCTCCAGGCGCCCCCGCGCAACGTCTGCGTTTTTACCTCGAAGGAGAAATGCTTTGGCTCTGGAAGCCTCCCCCCCCCACGTACGATGCCTTCCGCGTCTGGCCGGGTTTCTAGTGCCTGTATGTAGGCGTCCTTTGCTTACTAACCGATCATACCTTCACGCGATGCCTGCCCCAGTCTGCTAGTCTTACTTGAGTGCTAAGGAGGAAAAGATCCCGGAAGTCAGTAACTGAGTCTGAAGGAGTTGCATGTGCGACTGATGCCTGTTAGTGATAGTCCTACCCACTAAATAAGGCATGTTCTCTCTCTCTCTCTCCTTGTTATGTGTGTACATACATGCACACACGGGGCACACGCATTATTGTTGTTGTTAATTTTCTGGGGCTGTCATGGTGAAGTTCCACAGACTGGGTGGCTTTGATGACAGAAACTTGTTTTCGCGCCGTCCTGGGGGCTGGAAGTCCCCCGAGGTGTCCGCAGGGCTGGTTCCCTCTGAGGCCTCTTTTCTCGGCTTGTAGATGCCGCCTTCTCCCTGTGTCCTCACCGGGGCGTCCTTCTGTGTGTGTCTTTGTCCTCATCTTCTCTTCCTAGAAGAAGGACACCACTCGTACTGGATTAGGGTCCACTCTGATGACCCCATTTAGCTTAATGACCTCTTTAAAGACCTGTCTCCAAATACAGTCACAGTCCGAGGGCCTGGGATCAGGACTTCAATGTTTGTATTTTGGGGGGACACAGTTCAGCC